CTGTACATGGATCAAGGTGCAGTTGTGTGAACAGAAGAAAAGCATACTCCGTGGTTTGAAATCAGGAAAGGTGTGTGTCTGGGTTGAATTCTCTCACCATACTTATTCAATCTGCATGTTAATCAAATAATCACAGAAGCTAGATTATGTAAGAAAAGTGTGGCATCAAGACTGAAGGAAGGTTTATTAACAACCTGTGATATGTAGGTAACATAGCCTTGCTTGCTGAAAGTGAGGAAGATTTGAAAGACTTGCTGATGAAGATCAAGGGCGACAGTCTTCAACATGGATTACATCTCAATGTAAAAAAAAACTAAAATCCTCACAGCTGATAACAAAGACTGAAGTTATCAAGGATTTCATCTTACTTGGATCCATAGTCAGTGTTCATGGAAGCAGTAGTCATGAAACCAAACAATACATTGCATGGGGTAAATCTGCTGCATAAGACCTCTTTAAAAGTGTTGAAAGGCAAGGATGTTACTTTGAGGACTTAGATGCGCCTGACTCAAGCCATGGTTTTTTCAATAGCCTCATCTGCATGTGAAAGTTGGACACTGTATAAGGAAGAATGAAGAAGAATCAATGCATTTTAATTATGTTGGTGACAATCTACTCCACAGCATCATTCCCAGGGCTACAAAGTGCAGTCTCGGACAGTGGTTCTCAACTTTCCTAATGTCGCAACCCTTTAACACAGTTCCTCATGTTGTGGTGACCCCCCAACCATAAAATTATTTTTGTTGCTACTTCATCACTGTGATTTTGCTACTGTTATGAATCAGGCGACCCCCAAAGAGGTTGCGACACACAGGTTGAGAACCACTGCTCTAACAACATTATTCTGTAACAGACATTATAAGTGGTTTAAAAGTTACTAGTTGCTAGCACAAGTGGTTAAATGTAATGGTTTATATAACACTGTCCTATATTCACCTCAAATCTATACACACTCCTACAGGAGTGCTCAGTGAACTCCAATGGAGACTGAAGTCTAGAAGGGGGTGATGGGTAGGTCTGTCTTTGAGAAAGGGGTTATACCTCCGTTGGTGAGTAAATCAGGTGGAGCAACATGCCACCAGGAAAAACGCCCAACATTCCTTATATTAGCACACCACGCGGAAAATACAACCAGCATTCAGTTCCTAATTGGGTGCTTTTGACCTATTTTCTATCCAGCCCTTGGTGATCAAGGTTGCATGCTACAGACAAGCAGAATTTAGATTTGGCTTTTTGAGGTTCACAATATCCTTCACAGGCCATACCAAGACTATTAAAAAAAATCCTGAGCAAACTGGACTTTATCTTAAACTCACTTGTAGCTAATTTAAGAAACTACATATGCCTTGCACTTAAGGCTGAAACTCCCTAGTGTCAGAAGCAGATGACTGCTATCCCAGAGTTAGGGATTTGGAGGTCAATGGTCTTTGGTTCGGACCTCTAGCTTTGAGGGTACCCAATGACTGTGACTTGGAACCATCCTATTAGCTTTTGTGTTCTCTTTGCTTTTTATGACTTGTCTTAGTCTAGCAGGCATAAGTCTGTCTTTGTGAAGGAGGTTTACTAAAGTTCTGTCTTATACCCATCCCTCATGGTTTGCATAAATCGTGTCCAGTCACTTGAAATTTTTATCTATACAGGTCAACAATCCTAGTATTTTTATCTAAAAAGCTGTTCCATACATCAACAGAATTAGTATATGCCCCACGGGGATGATTTATATTGTTCCCGAACAAAAGGATAATGATGTCTCTAAAGTGAACCAAGGACACATACAAACCATAGATACATGAATGGATTTTGAGCTCAAACTTAATTGTAGCCCAAATGTAAGAACAACTAGTTCTTATGACATGGCCCTCCTCAATGCATGCCCTCATGAAAAAAATCACTGAAGCTATGTGTGCTATAGCAAAGTGTGAACAAGAAATCAGATGATACCTGGCTATTAGAAAAAAGATGTGTCTGGGAATTTAAAGACCTGTCTTAAAATAAGCAACCATCTATGTGAGGTGATAGCCAAATCCACATGGAAGAGCACGCCAGCCTGTGTGATCCAAAGTTTATAAATAATAAAACCCAAGACTGGAGGAGTGACTGAATGGTATTAGAGCTGAAATTCTGAGCACTCAGTTTGCAGAAGGCTATGAATGATGACAGCAAAAGCCCAAATCAACTTGCAGATTCACCACATGATTAAGCCTCCAGTAGATGTCCTGTGACCATTAACCAGGCTGTGAATAACCTCGCATCAGAGTGTGCATTGGAAAGTGGACTAATGCAGACGTTAGGGTAAAATTTAACACTGTATCATTTGCTCTCCCTATGGACCCACTTTTAATTTGCTCTAGTTTTTATTGTCTTCTGTTAGCTTTTCAAGTGGTTTTTCTGTTTTGTATATCTGTGTTTTATTTTATTTTTATGGAATTTTTTTGTTTCTGTGTTTTTGTATGTTTTTCTTTATATGAAATCTAGGATAGGTACATCTACAGAAACAGTAACTAGATTAATAGTTTCTTGGAGTTATGGCAGGAGAGATTGGGAAGAAATGGGGAGCTAATGAACACAAGAAAAAGGAAAATGTTCCCAAAGTGACAGTGGTGATAACTGCACAACTCAAATATGTTTCTACTATTGAATTGTATGATATGTGAATTGTATGTCAGGGCTGTGACCTTTCAGAAGCAGATTGTCAGGCCTGCCTCCCAAGACACCTCTGAGTGGGTTCAAAATGCCAACCTTTGACCAGTGACCAAGCACTGAACTGTTTGTATCCTGATACTCAAATAATGAATAGGCCAGGATTTCAGTGTGGGTCTTGTTCATTTAACATTAATTCTCCATAATAAATTTATATTCTTTACATTGTTAACTAAGAAAATGAAAATTAAGCTAGGCATTGCTAAGCACCCTGGTGGCACAGTAGGTTATACTTCAGCTGCTAATCACTAGGCTCAAACCTAACACCACTCCGTAAGAGAAAGATGAGCTTGTCTGCTCCCATAAAGATTTGCAGCCTCGGAATCCCTTAAGAAACTGTTGTACTTTGTCTTACAGGGTCACTGTGAATCTGAATGGGTTGATGGCAGTGTTGGTTTTCTCTCATATAGACCACTTCAACATTTCTGAAACACACCCTACTGAACTAATCATTCCTGCAAGATAAACACACTGGAATGGGAATCAGGAGACAAGGAATTAATATTGGCTCTCTCAACAAGAAGTGAATTTGGATAGTTAACAAACAAGCTCTCTGACCCAAATTTCCTTGTCAGTAAAATCAAGCATTAGAGAAAATACTCTACTACCCCTACCCCTTTCAACTCAAAGAAAAAATTACCACTATCTCTATTCCCAAATCATCAAGCTAAGAAAAAATGCCAAGACTATTATAAAAGGGGTTTAGGTTTAACTATCTTTTCCTTTCCTGATTTGATTCAATGAACTTAGAGATTTCCCATAAGAGGTTAAGTCATTTTATCCCCAGTAGTTACAGACTGGGAAAGAGATGCCAACAATATATTTCTTTAAAAACAAGTTAATTTGGGTCCAGAAGCAGTATCTACAATAAGAATTTTCTCTATTGAAATATTTAACTTGGCAAGATATGACAAAATACCCATTTATAAACTATCAAGGGCTCATGAAGGAGGGGGGAGCGGGGAGGGAGGGGAAAAATGAGGACCTAATGTCGGGGGTTTAAATGGAGAGAAAATGTTTTGAGAAATGATGTACAAATGCGCTTTACACAATTGATGTGTGTATGGATTGGGATAACAGTTGTATGAGCCCCTAATAAAATGTTAAAAAAGAAAAAAAAAAAGAAATATTTAACTCATATAAGCCTTCTTTCAGTCATGAATTTCTTCTGCTCATTACTGACTGCTTGCCTTTGGTGTATGTCTACAGTGTTTTCCTTTGGATCTATATAGGTAATGAACCAAGTGCCATTTGTATCAAGTGTGATGTCAATAAAAATATATCATTAATATGCTCATGTAATACTGTGGGGCCTAAAATATGTATAGCAGGCAAATGTTTTAAGGCCACACTACATATAAAGTAATAAAATGGCTGTTCAGACAGTAATGAATAATATTTTCTTGCTTTACGTCTGCACTTTTGAGTCACAAAGGAAAAAATTAATCTCCACCAGAATATGATTTGAATTCAAATGCAGGAAACCTATCTTTTCTGTGAAGATAGTTCTCACGTCCTTCTAGTGTTACTTTTTAAAAATTATTGCTAGTAAGTGACCACAACTACTATGTTCAGCTAGCATTTCTCTCTGGAAATTAGCATTGCCAGCCTTAAGTTTGCATAAGACATTAAGTTGAAGCCACAACAGTTATTGTCTGATTGCAGGAGAATGCTGAAGGCAAAACAACTTGCTCCACTTTGCAAAGTGAGCAACACAGAGTAAAAAGAAAGGAAGTTGGCAAAGGAAAGGCACTCAAGAGCTACTTGCACTACTGGTTCTATGCATGTTCTAGACACTTCCCTTGGAATAAAAAGGAAAGGAGATGGCACCCTTAGAAGCCCAAAGTTACTCTTCTCACAAGTTCCAATTTTCACAGAATTCATCGTAAGATCCAGTGAGAGAAGGAAACTGGCATTTGCTTTCTCAACTTGGAGTCCTACGAAGCCGAGAGAACCCCAAAGTGCTTTGTCGGGTAAAGGCTGTTCAGAGCATCATCCGCATGCACACACCTCCGGGCCAGGGCGGCTCCGCCCTCTCCCTCCTAGCGTTCCCAGGACTGGACTCGAGGACGATGTCCCGCGCACCAGCAGCCGGGGCCACTCGGACTCGGGGCCGGCAGTGACAGCGGCGCAGGCTGGCTGGCAGCACTGCCAGGATGCGCAGTGCAAGACTCCAGTAGGCGGTAGACACGTCTCACGTCCCCACTCGCGTGGACCCAGAGGCTCAGCCTCCAAAGCTACGCGGGGAAGCTGCCGGCCCGGCCCGCCCCTCGTCCAGGCAGATCGCCAGCGGTCCCTACCTGTCCTCCGAGACGCTGATGACGCCCTCCTCCTTGGGCACGATCACGGCCATATTCACCACCTCTTGGGACCCCTCGACCCGCTGCAGCAGGATGGGCTTGCGGGTCAGCGCCTTGGGCTGGATCTCCGCCGCCATCGGAGGAGGGGGCGCGGCGAGGCCAGGCTACCGAGAGCGCTCGGGAACCAGCGCAGGCTTTGGTTTGCCGGAGCGGGACGCCAGGGACCAGCGCTCATAGCCCGGCGCTGCGGAGAACAAATCTGGGCTGCCGGATTCGGGCACAGCCACCGCCGGAGCCCCAACCCCGGAGCCCAGACCAAAGGCAGGGGTGGAGAACTGGGGGGCGGGGCCTGGCGGGGGTGGGGCGGGGCCGGCCTCAGGGGGTGCCCACTGGTGGGCGCGAGGGCGGCAGCACTTCCGGGAGGGTGGTGCAGGAGGAGGAGGAGCTCGAGGAGGGGGCGGGGCTCTGGAGGCACAGTGCGCGTGCGCCCATCAACCCTCTTTCCAACCAAGCCCTCTGCACGGCTCAAACCCTGCTGCGGTGACGTTAGGACGCACGTGACTTCCATCCACCTCCGTTTAGATGTCTTATCTGCTGCCTCCACAACGAAGTCAGAGTCCCCTCCTCCGCATTATGCTGCAAACGGGCGTGTTTGTGCACCCCTGGGTATACACCCCCTGGGAACGCGCTTGACATAAGCCCCCGTCCCTCTGAATTTCTTAGAAAGGGGATGGAGGGCCCTCAGTGCCACTGAGTTGATTCTGACTCGTAGGTATGCTGCAGGATAGGGTAAAACTAACCCTGTAGGTTCCTGAGACTAGATCTTTACAGTATGAAGATAGCCTTATCTTTCTCCCGCGGAGCAGCCGGTGGATTCAAACTGCTGACCTTAGAGTTAACCTAATTCTTTAAAGCACCAGACCCTTCAGGTGGTGGGAGTGGGAGACCAGCGAGGCAAGTCGGAAGGAAAGCAGTTGGGAGGTGACTGGGCATGCGCGAAGTTTACCTGTTGTTTGCTTCTTTAACAATGAGGCGATGCATATGCTCCCAGCATGCACCCTACAATGGCCCTAAGGCCTCCTGGGAGTTGTAGTTTTAAAGCACCTCCTCTAGGACTACCATGACCTGTCACTTTATCAGTTGCGCCCCGCCCATGGTTACAGGATACTGCTCAAAAACTGTCGCACCTGGAGCAAGGAAAGAAGAGACTATTCTCAGCAGGGAGGGAGTTTAAAGATGGTTAATAGTGTCAGTCTCCTCATTTTCTTAATTGACTATACTACTAGCTCACAATAGTGAGCTATACTATTGTATATATACTATTATACAATTAACTATACTACTAGTTCATATAGGCAATTGAACTTTAACGCAGGTCACCATTCTCCTAGTTTCGACCGCTGACCTGTTCCCTGGCAATCCAGTGACTTTAGCCTGCCATAGAGAGAAATAGGGTTAACTAAACCAAACTAAACGCACTGCCATCTAGTCGATTCCAACTCATAGCAACCCTAGGCCAGGGTAGAACTGCCCTTGTGGGTTTCCAAAGCTGTAACTACAGAATAGAAAGCCTCTGCCATAACCCACCCAGCAGTTTCAAACTGCTTCCCTTGCAGTTAGCAGCCCAATGCTCAACTACTATGCCACCACCATTGAATGAACTTAGGCCCCGGACATTCCCTGAACTAACTAGCTGCAGAATGCTTAGAGTCAATGTTGTAGGATTTCAGATGACAAAACTCTGAAAGTCAGCATAATAATATGCTAGGACTGGACAAAAAAAATCGGAATGGTCTTGTGGAAATGGATTTCGAGGCAGATTTTGGCAGTGAAAGAGTATGGTACAAGGACCTGTCTTAAAGCACACAATACAACTAACTCTTCACCACCTCTGATCTTCGCAGATCCTGTACAGCCTTTCAAATGGGGAGTCTGATATCTTCCAGCTGTGGAACGTGATGTTTCCCATCAATTCAACTGGGATATTAGCACTCACCTTACAGACTCATGAGGCTGACAAACAGCACGTTTTAAGTGCCCACGTATGCAACAATAGATCTTCTTTAGTACTAGTGACAGTTATAATTTTGACCCATAAGCTTTCCCTGGGGGAACATCTCTTAAAAAAAAAATGGCAATGGCTGTTCCACCCCAGCCCTTGTGGGAATTAGAACCTATTGGGAAGGGGTAGGAAAGGGGGAGTATGGCAGTCCTAACTCTGACCCTCAAATCTTCAGAGACAAGAGTATCCATGTTTAGAAATAGTGAGTAACTACTTGGTGCTAGGCAGTAGGGCACAGTTTGAACAGGAAAGCTAAAAACCCTACTGCTGTGAAGTCAATTCTGACTCATAGTGACACTATATAGGGTTTACAAAACGGCAAGTCTCTATGGATTGTGATAAGAGTTGTATGAGCCCCTAATAAAATGATTTAAAAAACTGCAAGTCTTTTCCAGAGCAGATAGCCTCATCTTCCTCCTGAGGAGTGGCTTGCAATTAGTGGTCCAATAGTTATGCCACAGCATCATTAGGGTTCCTTCTGAATAACGTCTCCATTCTCAAGGATGCCAGAGATCGCTAGGCATAGATGAGAGAACAGGCTATGATCATACAGTGACTATGTCAAGAGTTGTAATGAGGGACACATGGGGCCAGGAAAAGCAGAAGTACCAAACCTGGCTTGGGATGGCAGTGAAAACATGGGGTTATAGAAGAAAGATTGACCAGAGACAGTGCAATCTACACAGGGTCTTGAAAGTGTAATCAGCAGTAAACAAGTTATTGTTTTATGTTTTGTTGGTTACATTGGTTTGAATAGGGAAGAGGTGAGTAAAAGGCCTGTGGGCAAACACAGCATGATTATTATAGATGAACTTTAATACTGTTAGAATAGTGACTGAGGCTAACAGCAGTGGGAGGTGAAGAGGAAGACATTACTGGACCTGAATATGGAACCATGGCCTGATGCACCTTGTTCTTAGAAAAGGGTGCTCTCTGGCCACGTTCCACTTCATTCTCAGATGAGATGGCACTCAATTACAGACCATAAATGCCAATACAATATGGTAGCTGCTATAATGGCTTTACAATCAAGTGCATTACCTCCGTTATAGAGCCCTGATGGCATAGTGGATTGATTACACATTAGGTTGCTAACCCAAAGTGAGCAGTTCAAGCCCACCAGCTACTCCTTGGAAGAATGGTGTTGCTTTCTGCTCCTATGAAAATGTATGGCCTTGGAAACCCACAGAGGCCATTCTACCCTGACCTATAAGGTCCTCATGAGTTTCAATCAACTCAATAGCAGCAAGTTTTGAGTTTATAAAGTACACAAGCCCCAGAGACCCAAACACGAGTCCACAGAAAGCTAGAGTAGCATGCCCTTTGGACATTTTTTTTGGCAGAACTAAAAGAGCTTTGCACCATTGCTCAAGCAGTGCAAAGGCCAAGGGGCCATGTGGCTGAGAAGCCAAGGACCAGGGAGAGGTTTGCCTTGGGTCATAGCTGAGGAGACACTCTCTTTATTGGAATAATAGTTCCCTGGGCATTTCTGGTTCTCAGTTACAACCTGCTAGCTTAACTAATACACCCTATAGTCATAAGTATGGTCTGTGAGGTCTTTGTGGACATTGCAATTAATTTTCAAACCCAGCAGAGAAGCAGTGTGTCTTAGGAGAAATGGTTATAAAATGACAGAAACTGCCTGAAGAAGAAAAGATAATGGACTTATTAGCAAAGACTTTAAAACAGAAGTATTAAATATGTTCAAAGATTTAAAGTAAAACATGGACAAGAACTAAAGAACACCAGAGAAACAATATAGGGGGACAAAACAAGAATTTCTATAAAGAGAACTTTTAAAAAGAGAAGCACAAATATTGTACTGAAAAGAACAATAATGAAAAACTATAAAATCCATTAGAGGGATACAACAACACATTTAACTGGAAGAATTAAAAATCCATACACTGAACTATAGGCAACTTGAAATTGCTGGGTCTGAGGAGCAAAATAAGAAGATCATTTAAAAGTGGCTTCAGCTGTAGATCAACAGGGAGCTGTCCAAACGTGGAGTCAGATGCAGAAGAGAGCAGGGATATCAGTGCTAACATCACATGGGTCTTCGCTGAAAGCAAAGAACACCAGAAAGATGTCTACTTGTGTTTTATTGACTGCTCAGAAACATGCAACTATGTGGGTCGTAAAAAAAATTTGGATCACATTGAGAAGTATGAGGATTCCATAACGTTTCATTGTACTCATGCAGAACCTATACATGGACCCAGGGGCAGTCAGTCAAACAGAACAAGGGAATACTATGTAATTTAAAATAAGAAAAGGTGTGATTCAGAGTTTTATCCTTTCACCCTACTTATTCAATCTGCATGTTGAGCAAATAATCTGAGAAGCTGGACTACAAGGAAGACTTACTAACCAGCTGCCACGTGCAGATGATGCATCTTGTTGGCTGAAAGTGAAGAGGACTTGAAGCACTTGCCAATCAAAGACTCCAGCTTTCAGTATGGATTGCAACTCAATGTAAAGAAATTCTCACAATTGGACATAATGATGAATGGAGAAAATGTTGAAGTTGTCATGAATTTCCTTTTGCTTAGATCCACAATGAAGGCTCATGGAAGTAGCAGTCAAGAAATCAAACAAAGTATTACATTGGGGAAATCTGCTGCACCAGGACTCTTTAAGGTGTTGGAAAGCAAGAATGTCACTTTAAGGACTAAGGTGCATGTGACCCAAGTCATGAATGAGTAAGGAAGACCAATTTGAATTATGATGTTGACAAAGAATATTGAAAGTACAGTTGACTTCCAAAAGAATTAAAAAATCTATATTAGAAGAGGTGTAATCAGAACATATCTTGGCAGCAGGATAGACTTATTTCTACTTATTATGTCTGACATGAATTATAATATAAAGGCATAAAAAGTTATAAGCTTGTGTTATCAATCCACTGTATATGGATAAAGTTTGTGAAAATGACAACATAACAGAAGGAGAAGGGAGAGAAATTGGCTTTTGCATATTATTAAAAGTAAGTACTAATTTTTATAAATACTTAAAAGATTTTCTTCAATCTATTTATAGTGAAATAGGCAAAGGTTTAAATTGGTATCAATTTATATAAGATGTTTTATATACCAAAATCCAAATTCACTGCCATCAAGTCAATTCCAATGCATAGAGACTGTATATAGGATGTTAAATGTAACCCATGGTAGTCACAAAGAAAATACCTAACT